ACTTAGGTTTATCTACTCCTCCCCAATAAAAAGAAAAAAACATTTTGAATTATATAAGAGTTCGCAAGTCTTCATTTTATTTTTCGCTTCGAGCGGGGAACCCTACTAATCCCTTTTCAGTACTCTCTGTTCTAGAGGTAATTCAAACCAAAAGAAAACACAGATACCTTTCAAGGACCCGGGACATTTGGGCAACAGTCTCAAACCCGTGAATCACTTCAAGACTTCAAGACAACCGAACCGAACAACAACAGGCAAAGGCCTGTATACGTTGTGATTTGAATGCGCATTTGAACCTAGGTCAGACGACAAATTTGAATTTGGCGCCAGGCGTTACACGCAAAGTAGGAATGGCGGTTTCCCAGGAGGATGAGATCGTCAGTAAGGCAAAGTCGGCTATCCTGGCTTTGGAGTCTTTGAAAACCGAACAAGAAAAATCCCTTTCTGGTTTTCAGTCATCCTTGAGCCAAAGCCATGCAGGAGATGAGCCAGAAAACCTCTACGCCAAAGAAATGGTGGATCCATTGGGCGTCATTGTTCAGCGAATTCAGAATGGCTTGGAAGATGCGGACGTGAGTTGTATAGTTAGAATCATATTTTTTCGCTGTAGGTCCTGCTAGTTATGTATGAGTACCTACAAAAAGCTGAAGCAGAAAAGCAAAAGTTGAAATACCAAGCCCGTCGGTTGTTCCAGGAAAATACTTGGCTTAGGGAAGAGCTGACATATGTACAAGATCGTTATCGTGAAAGCGAACAAAGAGTTGTAATTCTTCAGGAACAAGTAAAGGAACATGAATTTAATGCAGAGTTGCGGAAATACGATTCCTCGGAACCAACTGATCAAGCAGGACTCGGTAATGGCGACGCCACCACTGCGAAAACCGCTTTAGACTTGGGCTTCCCACCGGAAGATAAAGAAGATGGAGATCAAGATAGTAAGTTCCGTCTCAGCTGCGACAGCCCTTCCCGTGGTCTGTTCCCTCCCAGTTTTCCGTCATCACATTGATCATGCACACTAAGCTTAGGTTCTTTGGAGTTATTTAAGAAATGAATACTTGGGCTAAAAGGCCACTGGTTTTACTTCCCAGTCGGCTCCTTACTTCTATGTGAGTTCGGCTTGTCATCACAGGCGCCAATGGAAACCAATACAATACAGGATTACAATACAGCGTTACTGATTTCGCGCTACTGTTATGTATTGACCAGGCTTCGTCGCTCTCGTTACACCAGAGCGATGGATTATCTGTATAGGCGATGAACCCCTCGGTCAGAAGAACCCGGTATCCGTTTGCGGCTAATCCAAGTCATGGCAATCGAAGTGTCTTTATGTTCAGCTGAGCTACTCTGCTGTCTACCATTTGAGCTCCTCTCTCCATCTGCATTTCAGAATAATGTTTACTATGACTTCATACAGTCACACGTCTTCGACAAATTTTCTAAGTTGTCTTTCTTTACTAGGCCACGTAGTCTGTATTGGAGTAGCGGCACTACTGTTCCTCAAAGAAGTGTGATAAAAAAATAAATCATTTTGGCCGAGGGCTTTGGATGTATCGCTCCACGAAAGTTCCTTTACCTAGTCTTGGCAGTCGGGAATTATACAGCCTCGTTTGACGCTGGGAACGTCATTTTGTACCACATCCCCACATCATAAATGTTACATCCAATAGAAAATCACATACAAATCAGTGTCTGGCTCTTTAGTTACGTTGGTTGTTTGGAGAAAAAGTCATGTTCATATACTTCCACCGCCAATAAAACTCTATAACAGACTGGTAGCGAATGTATCGGAAGATTACCTACGCACACATTTCTGGCTTTTATTACTGACTTCACCCGGTATAACTCCGATGTGCACAGCGGTTGACTAGCGGCAGAGGAAAGCCATCCAGTAGGCCACGCGTTTCCAACTGGCCACCGCTAACCCGCACTGGGTTCATTTTCCCTCAAACACCTATTCATTGATCGCCCTGCATATTTGTGTTTGCTTTGTACACATAAACATGACATGATTAAAGTCTGCTCCATTGTGTCGAGTGTTTGAGATAAACAGTAGGAGTAGCACCTCTGATTCGGAGGACTGTCGAATCCTTTGGACATCCTCCGTTCTGTGGTCTCTACCAGGCGCTCAGCTAACTCGTGACTCCAAGGGGCTGTTTGAGTGTTACAGCGGCCACTTCTCTGTAAACCGTTCTACAGGCGAGCCAATCAAGGTGAGGGTAACCGGGAGCTCTGCTCCCTGTGAGTCGGTGTCTAACTTACGTTACGCCGACGGTCAACGGTCAAGGCAATGACTCCGTACTCACCAGAAATAATCGGACCCCTGTTCATTTAGAAGCTGTCAGCGATGTATGAGCTCCGGCCACCGGAAGCATACACCACCTTCCTGCTGCCTGGCAGTTAGCATTTGGGTGTGCAAAGGCTAGAGACGCCACCTCGATCCAAAGGCTAACGCTGGGGAAGTTTCCTGTACCCAACTCAAAAAATGTCATGGATATTTTGACGTGAGTAAAGAAATTATGCAGCACGTATGGAGATCTACAGGAGCGCTCTCGTTGTCAGACACGCTCACAAAAGCTAGAGCACGACTATCGCACACGAACGTATATTGTAGCACAAAGCATGGCAAAAAGCAAAGTACAAGCGATATGTGGGCAGGGGTCACATCAGGTTCGTATGGATTATGGGTTCTCATGTTTCCTAACACTTCTGTTCGTTCCTTCTTAGTGTTCACCGCGTTCAATCATTGTGTGCCTGAAAGGGATGGGAAAGGTAAAAGCAGCTATTAGTACTGTATACATCCCCGACCATTTCGGTTTCAATGCGTTCCCGGAAAGCGATGTCCTCTGTGCTCTTCTCTTGGCTTGGGTGACGAGTATGCGCACTGAACAACTTAAACTACGCAAACCTTACATTGGATGCTGGAACGTAAGAACACTCTTGAACTCCAGGAGTCAGTCACTAACAATGATTGCACTGCATGACCATCAGCTGGAAATTACATGCCTATCAGAAATCAGATTAGTGGGCTCCAGCTCCAAAAGTATCAAAATTCCTGGTATCGATAGCCAATACTGGCTGCATCACAGCGGCAGTGAAACTTCAGGTCAACTCGGAGTTGCGCTTGCTTAGGGTGGTGGCAGCGCAGTGATTTAGTCGTTGTCACAGGCGTGCTTTGGACCTTATGGTCCGAGGTGCGAGCCCCGCCACCGCCATCCAACTTTGGTGGTAGGCAGCT